TTTTTTTTAATCTTTTCTTTTCCTTTTTTTTATTTGCTTTTCCTTTTTTTCATCTTTTCTTTTCTTTTTTTTTATCTTTTCTTTTCCTTTTTTTTTGCAAGTCATTGTGATCGCCTCGATTTTTATTTTTTTTTATTTTTTTTTCCCCTTAGTCCTTTTTTCTTGCAAACGACGTAGCCCCTTGTTTACTATGTTGCGTTCATCTGGATCTATCAGAAGGCGTCGAACTTTCAGAGAATGTTCCGATTACTACCAGTTACGTCTCTGTACCATTCATTGCGATCCCGATCCTGATAAACGCTCATCCCGTCCAGATACATAAGGGTATGTATATTCATTTATCCAACTTTTAGAGAATGTTCAAGGAAAATTCACATCACGAGGTCGCACTGGTTGATCATAATTCAGATAAAATCGGAAAATCAACCCTCGATCCAGGAGGGAGGGAGGGAGGGGGTGAGGGAGGGAGGGAGGGGGCGAGGGAGGGAGGGAGGGAGGGAGGGTACCGTCTTTACCGAATAGAGCGCCCGGCCATTAATGCTGCATCTGGACTGAATGTTCGCCCAAATACAGCTATAACGATCGGGCGTTCTTTGCGGGTGACGACGGTAGCAGACTGTGTAGTTCAGATCGCAGACAAAGAACAAACAGAAAGAGAAAGAGACAGAAAGAGAGAGAGAGAGAGAGAGGGAGGGCGAGATGGGAGGGAGGTTGATTGGTTACTAACCTGAAGACGTGCGTGAAGAGGAGGGAGTTTCCCTCGATCCAGGAGTTGGCTTCCGCTTCGTCGTCATCGTCATCTACGGCGCGGCGGGGCTCGTACTTCCCGAGGCTATGCCGGTGCGACTCGTTCAATGCCAGAGCCATGACTCCCGCCGCAGCGTATCGCTGGATATCCGTCAGCTGGACCATTGAGGATAACCGATCTCTGACGTACAATCAAGTGCAAAACTTGCTGCCTGTCTCGATTGATTGCTTGATTGCTTGATTGCTTGATTGATTGCTTGATTGCTTGATTGATTGCTTGATTGATTGCTTGATTGCTTGATTGCTTGATTGATTGCTTGATTGCTTGGTCAGAACCCTGGTCCCCTTTCTCTCTCACACACACACACCCGCACACACGCACACACACACGCACACACACACACACACACACACACACACACACACACACACACACACACACACAGAGCAGAAGCCAGTCAGGACGTAGTCCGGAAGGGGAAGCGTAATCATTCAGGCAGGGGAGGTGGACTGCAGCAGGGAGGCCTATTCTGGAGGATGCCATACGGCGACATAGAGGTTGATGAGGGAGAAGACCAGGGGAGGCAAAGACGGGAAAAAAGAGAGAGAGAGAGAGAGAGAGAGAGAGAGAGAGAGAGAGAGAGAGAGAGAGAGAGAGAGAGAGAGAGAGAGAGAGA